ACGACGGTCATGACCCGGCCACCATTGTAAATACGGTCCGTTGGTTTTGGATCAGCCGAAGTGCTGGTAAGGTCTTCCATGTCAAACCATTCCTCTTCGTCAATGTCAAGCTCGGCACTCAAGTTGCTGCTTCCATTCGGGCACCGATCACCTTCGTGACCAAGTCGAATAACCAAACCCACTTTCCACAGCCAGCTCGGCTCATAAAAGGTGCCGGTCCAACGTTCAATCCAGTGGAAAGGGTCCCTGCAGTGGGATGTTCGGCAACATTCTGCACAATATGCTGTGCCGGCAAAGCAATCGAGACATCGCCAATTTGCCTCCTTCTTGCAAAAGATACAAACCTGCTTTGACGCTTTCCTATCCAAAAATTCATGGAGGTATAGATTACGCTTAGTCTCTTTCCAAACCCTCATGTAATCATTGGATGACTGATAGTGTATTAGCGTTCAGTATATGAATATATTGGAAGAGGAATTTCACATTTCTGTAAGGTTGATGATCCTCAAGAGGAGGAGCATATTCAACGTATGGCAAATCTTGGTGTTCCCTTTCAATGTCTCTTTCCAGATGGCTGCAGTTACGTTTTTTCACGGGGGAAAATGGCAGAGAGGGAATAGTGGAGGAGGGAAAAGACCTCCTTCCATTTTTTATAACAAGCCTGTTGAAGTGAGGATTAGCGATGTTGCTGTGTGCTTTTCTTCCCATGTTTGTCGACTGTTGAAATGGCCAAAGGATATAATGATGATGTGTAGTGGGAATGAGGAAAATGTGGGCGTAGTGGGAAAGAGGAAAATGTGGCCGTCGAATAGCAAATGCAAACATTCATAACAGATTTGCAAATGCAAACATTCATAACAGATTTGCATTTCCAGCTACGTAAAAATTCCTGGAGTTTGTCAAATGTTTTCCAACTTACAACAGACCAACTCTACAATTTATGCAAGAAGGGAGGCCAATGTGAAGAGACTCACTCTGGAGCCAATGTGAGGAGACTCGCTCCGTATTTGATCCAACCAGTCAGGCTGTTGTATCCTTAAAAAGTTGGCAGTAAGACTGGGATGAGCACACACCCAAGCCATAAAAGCCGGCCAGCAGGACTGGATAATAGTCAATTAGAAACACAATCTCATATTTCATACACTTCGCATACTCTTTAACGGCGGCTTCTTGTGAACTTTTAATTTTTATCACCTTCAATATGACTGCAAAATATCAAGATCTGTATGTCGCTGGCAGCCTCATCATACATTGGTATAAAGGTAGCTTCAATATATACCACCATAACTGTGTTACCAGTTTAGTTACTTAGATGGACCGACGATAATTACAGACAGACATAATTACAGAGGAAGCTAATTAAGGTTTTGTCCTGTGATGCGATCATAACTGTTCTGCTATTTAAGCTATTTAAGGTTATTAAGGTCTGTTCTTTTCCGTTTCGTGTTCGATCTTCCGTGCCGATCAGTTATGTATATTTTTGATAGATGATATATAAAGTAATTCCCTTTCCCGAATCAGGGGTGATTGTTTGTTCATTGTATTTGGCATGAGTTGTTCTCCCTCTCTGCTCCCGACTACCATTTTCCATCTACCTCTTTGCTCCCAAATACCATTAATTATATCATTATGAGTACTCATTCTCAATCCCCTGAACCATCTGCCCCACTTTCCAGTCAAACCAAGCACCATGGGTCCGGGAGGCATTGGACCGACGAAGAAAGTGCTCTGTTGGAAAAACATCGGGAGGAGTACAGAGACGCCAACGACGCTGCTCGTGCTGA